AGGAAAAATCAACGAATCGACACCGGATGTGTATTAACTTGACACGTTCTGATAGGGGGCCTCCTGGGGCCTCCTGGGAGCCTCCTGGGAATCTCCTGCGGACCCCTGGGGCCTGTCCTGGGCGTCCTGCGGCTTCCTGAAGCTCTCTGGGGCCTCCTGGGGCTCCCAGGGTCCCAGGGGGGATATGTAACATGTGGTCTTCTGGGCCCCCAGGCTGGACCACCTCTTGCGCGGCATCTGGGAGCTCAGAGTTGCGAGAATGTCTTGTGCGAAACGGGCCGGACCAACTTGCGCACGGCATCTCAGAGCTCAGAGTTGCAAGGATGTCTCAGGCGAGACGGGCCGGTGTCTCGGGCGAAACGCTGCGAGGAAGTCTCAGGCGAAACGGGCCGGACCACCTCGAGCGCGGCGTCTCAGAGCTCCGAGTTGCGGGGGCCTCCTGGTGCCTCCTGGGGCCTCCTGGGGACCTCGTGGAGCTTCCTCCTGGGCCTCCTGTGGCCTCCTGGACCTGGGGTTTCCTGAAGCCTCTTGGGGCTCCCAGGGGGGATATCAAACCTGTGGCCGCTTGGGCCCCTCCAGATGGAGGGGGGGGCACAAGAGCAGGAAAAATCAACGAATCGACACCGGATGTGTATTAATTGGACACGTTCTGATAGGCGGCCTCCTGGAGCCTCCTGGGAGCCTCCTAGAAATCTCCTGGACACCCCTGGGGCCTGTCCTGGGCGTGCGGCCTCCTGGAGCTCTCTGGGGCCTCCCCCTCCTCCTGCCTGCTCCCTCATGCACATCATCCGCCTCCACCTTCTCCCTTCCATCTCCTCCTCCTCCTCCTCCTCCTCCTCCTCCTCCTCCTCCTCCTCCTCCTCCTCCTCCTCCTCCTCCTGCTCCGATTCCTCTTCATCCCGAACGGCATCTCGGAGCCTAGAGTTGCGAGGATATCTTCAGCGTAACGGGCTGGACCACCTCGCGCGCGGCATCTCGGACCCCAGAGTTGCGACGATGTCTCGGGCGAAACGCGCTGCGAGGAAGTCTCAGGCGAAACGGGCCGGACCACCCCGAGCGCGGCGTCTCAGAGCTCCGAGTTGCGGGGGCCTCCTGAGGCCTCCTGGGGCCTCCTGGGGACCTCCTGGAGCTTCCTCCTGGGCTTCCTGTGGCCTCCTGGACCCCACCTGGGGTTTCCTGAAGCCTCTTGGGGCTCCCAGGGGGGATATCAAACCTGTGGCCGTTTGGGCCTCTCCAAATGGAGGGGGGGGCACAAGAGCAGGGAAAATCAACGAATCGACACCGGATGTGTATTGACTTGACACGTTCTGATAGGCGGCCTCCTGGGGCCTCCTGGGAGCCTCCTGGGAATCTCCTGGAGACCCCTGGGGCCTGCCCTGCGCGTCCTGCGGCCTCCTGGTGCCTGCTGGGGCCTCATGGGGACCTCCTGGAGCTTCCTCCTGGGCCTCCTGTGGCCTCCTGAACTCTACCTGAGGTTTCCTGAAGCCTCTTGGGGCTCCCAGGGGGGATATCTAACCTGTGGCCGCTTGGGCCCCTCAAAATGGAGGGGGGGGGGGCACAAGAGCAGGAAAAATCAACGAATCGACACCGGATGTGTATTAACTTGACACGTTCTGATAGAGGGCCTCCTGGGGCCTCCTGGGAGCCTCCTGGGAATCTCCTGGGGGCCCCTGGGGCCTGTCCTGGGCGTCCTGCGGCCTCCTGACCTCTCTGGGGCCTCCTGAGGCTCGCAGGGTCCCATGGAGGATATGTAACATGTGGTCTTCTGGGCCCCCAGGCTGGACCACCTCTGCGCCCTGAAGCTTTGCACCTCTTGTGCAGCTCTGCGAGAAGAGGCCGGACCACCTTGCGCACGGCATCTCAGAGCTCAGAGTTGCAAGGATGTCTCAGGCGAGACGGGCCGGACCACCTCGCGCAGGGCATCTCAGAGCTCAGAAGTTCGAGGATGTCTCAGGCGAAACGGGCCGGACCACCTCTCGCGCGGCATCTCCGAAGTCAGAGTTTCGAGGATGTCTCAGGCGAAACGGGCCGGACCACCTCGCGCAAGGCATCGTCTCAGGCGAGACAGGCCGGACCACCTCGCGCAGGGCATCTCAGAGCTCAGAGTTTCGAGAATGTCTCAAGCGAAACGGGCCGGACCACCTCGCGCACGGCATCTCAGAGCTCAGAGTTGCAAGGATGTCTCAGGCGAGACGGGCCGGACCACCTCGCGCAGGGCATCTCAGAGCTCAGAGTTTCGAGGATGTCTCAAGCGAAACGGGCCGGACCACCTCGCGCACGGCATCGGGGAGATCAGAGTTTCGAGGATGTCTCAGGCGAAACGGGCCGGACCACCTCTCGCGCGGCATCTTGGAGCTCAGAGTTTCGAGGATGTCTCAAGCGAAATGGGCTGGACCACCTCTCGCGCGGCATCTCAGAGCCCAGAGTTTCGAGGATGTCTCAAGCGAAACGGGCCGGACCACCTCGCGCACGGCATCGGGGAGATCAGAGTTTCGAGGATGTCTCAGGCGAAACGGGCCGGAGCACCTCGCGCGCGGCATCTTGGAGCTCAGAGTTGCGAAGATGTCTCAGGCGAGACGGCCCGGACCACCTCTCGCGCGGCATCTGGGAGCTCAGAGTTTGGAGGATGTCTCAAGCGAAACGGGCCGGACCACCTCTCGCGCGGCCTCTCAGAGCTCAGATTTAGGAGGATGTCTCAGGCGAAACGCTCGATCCCGGACAACTCAGAAACGAGAGTTGTGAGGATGTCTCAGGCGAAACGGGCCGGACCACCACATTTGTTTGAGGATGTCTCTGCTTAGCTTTCCCTCGGCCGGAGTTAGCTTCTATCACAACAGCACCCCGTTCAGCAAGCTGTTTGGGGAATCACGACGTCGGGGGTCTGAGAGTCGACGCCAATCGACGCTAGTCGACGCTACATCACCGTGACGAAAATGTCTTTCAATCTGCCTTCGCCAAAGACGGAAGTGAGAGGCCAGCCGGGCGGGATGGACAGAAACCCCTGTAGCAAAACGTGGCTTAGTGAAAACGACCTCGGGCCCAAACCTGGCGGGCGCAAGCCTGGAAAATGACGGACGCGGCGCCCTCTCGAGAACCGAAAACAGACAATTCACCGATCGGCGTGTCAGGACGGGGAGCCCCTCCACCCCCGAAGGTACACCGGGCCCCCATGCTTTGCCACCGAGTGAGCCGCCGCAGCTCCCGCTGGGGCAGACGGCCGAGGTCCTCCTCGGTGGGCTCCACGCCTCCCTCGCTCGGCTGCACCGCAAGGAGTGGCCCTGGGCTCGGGTGCTGCCTGGCGGCGCGCACACAGGTCACTGCACCGACCTTGCAGACGTGCTGCAGCGGATTTCCGCGTGGATTTCCGCCAATGCAAGACCCCGAAATGGCGAGCGAAAGACGAAGTGGGTTTCATGTGGATTTGTTTGTAGTCTTCCTTCCTGGTCCAAAAAGTCCGCACGAAATTCACTTCGAAATCCGGAAGGAAATTCTCCAGGACAATCCGGGCCCATCCAATTGTTTTCCGAACGAAATCCGCTCTGCGATGTTGGCACCATGACACGGGGGCAGGGGGAGGGGGGAAGGCTTCTCAGAGGGAGGCTGCTTCTTAGAGGGCGCCGGCCTTACATCTACAGAGAAGGCCGGCGCCTTCGATCGGGGGGGCGCAAACATGGATTAACGATCCATGGATTTGGCGCGCGGTCGCCAAATCCATGGATCGGGGCATGTGTCCTCCCCAAAATGCGGCCGGTGTCGCCTCGTTCAGCGGCGGAAATCCGCGATCTCCTATGGAAACGGGAACCGTCGCGAATCCACGCCCCCTGAATCCATGTTTGCGATCGCCTGCTTCTGAGGAGCAGCCTCCTTCCAAGAAGCCGTCCCCCCTCCCCCAGGCCCCCCTCTGCGCGTGGCCGTGTCGCCAGAGGTGCCCCTGGCCCAAGGAGGCCCCCCAGGAGTCCCAAGGAGGCCCCCACGGCCGCCAGAGCGCCCCGCACGAGGCGCAGAGGGCCCCAGGGGCTCCAAGGTTGAGCGAAAAGCTCGGGGCACCTTCGCCCAGGGTTATGTTGCTCGCATCGCACTGAAGAACCACATCCCAGAACTGATCTTCGAGCACCCAGGCAAATATCGAAGCAGTGTCGAACGAGCATCGCCTCCAAGGGCCTGGCGCGTGAAAACCCTCAAGATTCGATAGTTTCTTGGTGCTCGAAATTCTTTCTGGTGGCCAAGGCTACAGTACTTAGGTTGGAACATCATAGGCCCAGCGGCACCTTCGGCAACCCCCAATGGGCAAGAGTAACCCCTGGTGCGCGGCTATCGCATCCGCGCGCAAGCCGCTGCTATCGCATTGAGGTTCAGCCATCTGGGGGCCCCGATGTGCCCGCACCAAAGGTCACTCTGGAGTAGGACCATTCTTGCGTGAAGCCGATCTTCGGCTACCATGAGATCCTGGCGTCGCAACTTGTTGGAGTCGGACGCTGTCGCCCGCTTTCGGGCCCCGGGACCCTCACAGATCGATCTGGCTCGAAATTATGGCGCAAAAATCGGGGATCTTCTGACCCAGGTCAGTCCAGACCCGGGTCGGTCAGGCCTTGCAAAATCCTGCAAGATCCTGCAAGATCATGCACCCAAACCCGGGTCAATGCGACCCTGGCCGTGCAGGATCCTACAAGATCGGGCGCTCTGGCCGACCCCCGTTTGCATTGAACCCCGTCTCGAGGCTCCCGAAGAGAGCCGGTGTCTGGGGCTCTGGCCGTGTCCTTTGCACGATGCTGCAAGGTTTCGCTACGCCTGATCTCAGGGTGCACGCAAAAGGTGGCCCCGGGCAACGGTGACCTCTGGTGCGCGGCAGGAGGCGCAAGGGGGAGCCAAACCCAAGCGCGAGGAGGAGGAGGAGGAGGAGGAGGAGGAGGAAGAGGAGGAGGAGGAAGAGGGGAGGAGGAAGAGGAGGAGGAGGAGGAGGAGGAGGAGGAGGAGGAGGAGGAGGAGGAGGAGGAGGAGGAGAAGGAGGAGAGCGCGCAAGCCGTTGCTATCGCATCGCACTCAGCGATCGGGGGATCGGGGGGGACCGTCGTGATCCCGCATCAGGGTCACTCCGGCGAAGGGCCACTCTTACGTGTAGCCCACCTCTGCGAAGATGGCCGCGTAGTCTGGCGCCGCCGGGCCCGCACCGCGCTGGGCGGGCAGCCGGAGGTCGAAAGCGTCGATGTTGAGGTCGACGCCGCCGCAGAGGCTCACGCAGGTCCTGACGGGCTCGGCGCGGTGCCCCTGCAGGGCGCCGTGGCAGACGACGACCTCGTACGTGTACCGCTCCTGCTTGTTGAAGGGCAGGTCCATCCTGCACACGCTGGCCTCCTCCGCCCTCATCCAGAAATCGTCCAGGTGCACCCCGTTGTCGACCAGGAACTTCGCCACGACCGCCGCCCGCGAGACCTCGCGCAGCTGGTGGACGACGCTCTTCCTCTCCGCGATCAGGTCGAAGAAGTGCGTGAAGATCTCCGCGTACCTGACGAGAGGGTGACCCTTCGACGTCACAGGGGCGTCCACCAGCTGCCGCCTCGCGTCGGCGACCTGCTCGCGAGCCTCCACGCCCATTCTGACGCGGGGGAGGAGCGCACCGTCGCTGGAGAGCTCCACTCTTGCGTCCTTCACGACGAACCACTCGCGGCCCCGCCACTGGCCGTCGTTCCAGGGGAAGTCCCACACGGTCTTCATGCCCACGACGGGCTGTTCGAAGGAGGGGTCCGCCATCGAGAGCTCCTGGAGGAACCAAGGATCGGCACCAGCACCGTTTCTCGCAGCTCCGCGCGGATTTCTGGGATCAAACATATCCGCGCGGAGCTCCGAGGAATTATGTTTTGGTCGGGAGTGTCCCCGTACAGGCGGATTTTGGACGATACATTAAAGATATTCAACAAATATGTTCAAACATGTCGAGAATAGTCGGGGAAAAACGTCCCCATACTATTTTTATGCTGTTTTTGAATACTCCTCCTGTAGAAGGGCGCGCCCGACTTAGAATTATGTCTGCGCCGTTTGCTGCGAGCCGAGCTCCTTCAGGTGGTAGTCGGCCTGGAAGAGGACCTCGCCGACGCGCGTGCCCTTCAGCCACGGGGGCCCGAACGTCTTGACCTGCCACGGCTCGTCCGCGCGGGGCGTGTCCAGGGAGAAAGCCGCGGGACCCCCGCGCGGGCAGGGCGGAGACACGGGGCGGAGGAGGAAGAGCCACGCATCTGGAAGGACGCGTGGGCAGAAGAGTGCGCGATTGGCAGCTCTTCGGGAACTGCGAAGCTGGAAACGGACAACGGAGCGCACCACGACCGTCGCACACGGAAAACGGACAACGGACAACGGAGCGCATCACGGACAACGGAAAACGGGGCGACACGGGGCAGCGGGCGAAAACTAGGGGAGCGAAGAATGACGTAGACCTCCTCCCCGTGCGCTCATGCCCGCCGCGTGCGCTGGCTGGAACTCCTGGCGACGGGCGCCCCGCAGGCCGCTCTCGGGCCGCCTGCTCCCGAGACCGGCTGCGCAGGGAACGCTCCCGAGCCAGCGATGGCCCCCCAGGAGTCCTGCGTTTTTCGAGCAGGCAGACGTCTTCCAGCGCTGGGGGCCCTCAGCTCATGAGCAGCACGACGCCCTTCACGCAGTGCTCCCCGCCCCAGCACGCCTGGCACCCCGCAGGGCCGGGCCTACCAAGACGTCGTCGTCCACGCTGCCCTCCGTGGGGCACCCGAGCGACCTGGCACACCGGGTGCACGTGGCCCTGGGCGTCGAGCGAGCCCTGCTGAAGGGGATGACGCACGACGTACGAGGAGGTGCACGAGCTGGCAGGCGAGGCGCCTCGCGAGATGAACCTCACGCTGCCGCCAGGCAGCGCCGCTGTGCCGCACGCTACGGCGGGCGCCTGGCCACGGCGCGCTCAAGGAGCACCCGGAGCGCCCGCCCTGCGCCCAGCCCGCCTCTCCCTTGCGAGGGGGTCCGGCGGAGCGGCCCGGGCCCCCGCGGATAGGGGGCCATGCCCGCCTGCGTGCGCACCTGGAGGGCCACCGCGAGGTAGCACAGGTTCACCATGGCCTCCGGGTCCTTCGTGGGCCGCAGCCGCACCCGGGGAGGGCCCGCTCCCTCCAGCACCAGGCAGAACCCGGACTCCGGCGTGGCCCCCGCGGGCCGCGGGACCTGCCGCTCCTGGAAGAAGTCCTCGCCGCGGGGGATCATCGCCGTGGGCCTCCATCCGATGTTCGGGTCGGGCGAGGGGAGGGGGGAGCAAAAGGGGGGGTCAGAACACGGTGAGGGCATTGGCTAAGGAACCATGGGATATAAGGAAGGAGCACTCCAACAGCACCCCCAGCCGTCTTGGGCCATCGTGAGGCAATCCCTCCCTCCACCTCCCTCCGCCTCATCCTCCACCTACTCCTCCACCTCCCCGTCCACCAACCAGATCGCATCGGGAGCGCCCCCGGATCGGCGGCACTGGCTGGAGGCCACTACAAACAAGGAAGGAACCAAGGCAAGGACCTGGAAGCTGGTGGAACACCAGCTCTAGGCTTGGCCACGGACAGCGCCGCCACCCACATCAGATTAGGAATGCTACAGGGTCGGAAGCGCCCTGGGCGAGTTCCTCAACTGTCCCTCGGGGAACTGTCGATCCCGGGTCGGCGATGCATCGCCGACCGACAGGCGACCAGCCCCCGATGGCGCATCCGCACGGTCCCGGGGCGGGGCGGGTTGCCGGGCCCCCGTCGGCGGTCAGTGGGCGATCGGGGGTCGACGCCTCCCCCCTCTGGGCCTTGTGTCCTCCCCCTCTAACCTTAGGTCGGGCATGTCCTCCTGCAGGCGGATTTTGGGCGAGAGAAATGTTCCCAACAAAAATATTCGAATTATCAGAAAGGAATCAAAAAATCGTTCCTGGAGCATTTTTCCACTATTTCTGAATATTCCCCCTGTAGAACGACATGCCCGAATTAACCCTAACCGTGCCCCCGAGGTGAGCGAGTCAGCTCACGTCGCTGGTTGCCGCAGAGCCGGGGGGCTGCACCGAACAAGCACAAGTGCCTGGCGGCGGGGCCGAAAGCACCTGCGCGCAGCAGATGTTTCGTACTCCGACTTGCACAGTACACGGGGGGGGTCTAATTGGGGGGACGTCTGGCTTGAGCTGTCTTGGAAGGCTCCAGGCCGCCCTTCCATGGCTGGTCTTGGGGGGGGTCTAAAGCTGCTCGTCGGGGAGGGTTGCGACCCCCTCCCTCTCATCACGACAGGTGGAACACGGCAGGCTTGTGTCGTGACGACTCTGACGCTGATTTCTGACACCGCGTGGAGCGTTCAACCTCGAACGATCAGCGGCTTTTCGATCGCCGGATCTCGTTCCAGACTGGCCGACCCTGGGCCGCCGCTGGCGTTTGGCCTTGAAAGCCCCCGCTGGGCGCGCCGCCGCGTCGGCACGACGCGAACCTACCGTACCCCCCCTTTCCGTTCCGTTCCATAGCGGCTTGGAGCGTGCCCGTCTGTTGAAGCAATCATGCACCGGAACAGGGTGCAGGTGTGGGACAGTTCACGAATGAAAACGTCACTCCTCTGGAAGCGCCTCGACCCAGCTTGACTCGAAGGAGGAAGAGAAGTGGAAGGGGGACTCGTGGGTACCGTGGTTCAAGCCAGCTTTGTAAGCCTCCCTGGTCACAGGCCCACCCAACCGACATGCAGGGGCGTCCGCATGGTCTGGTCCCTGGCCCTCCCTTGCACGGCCTCTTGCGGCCTCCGCGTCCCTCCCCCTTTCGCCCGACGCGAGATGTTGTACTCCGCCCGGTCGCGCGCCCTCCTGCGCGCCTCCTCGCGGCAACACCTGGGGGGCACGAAGAAACGCCGATGCCGCTGCTGCATGGACCTCTCGCGGGCTGCACTCTGGCCAGAATCCTGATGAGAATCCAGCCGTGGCACCCTCCATGATTAACCAAAAAAGGACGCCTAACCCTTTGGGAGGGGACATAAGTTAGGAGGGCCAAAAACATTGGGGATAGGGCGTCTTTTCTGCAGATGCACCGAAACAAACCGCCCAAAATCGTTGTCCCTAATGCGAAGACGGGGACCTCAGTGAGGCCACGTCTTCATCGTGTTATTAGGGTTAGGGGTTCTTTTGCTCTCGATAACTCCAGTACCGAGGGGGAAAGTGAGGGGGGGGATCCCCCGGGGAGGGGGAACATCGACCATGAGTCGGCGTTCTACCACCGACAGATCGGCGACAGGCCCCCCGTAGCGCATCCATACGGTACTGGGCTCTCCAGGACGAGCAGCGGTGCCGTTACCGCTGCCTCCTGTGACCAGCGACTACAACGGGTGTGGCTACGCTGGGAGTGGTTTGCGATCGGCGCCGTTGGAGCTCAGGCGTCACCAGGCTGCGTCAAAGGTCTGATGAGCCCTCGTCGGGGCCCGGCAGAGATCTCTGTCGAGGTCCTCGCCCGCGCCTTCCAGGCACGGGTTGCAAACTAAAACCCTCGGCAAACCACACCCTTCTAGAAGAAGAAAACAACATAAACATAAACTTTCGGAGTTCCGCGCGGAAACAAAAACCCTTCGCAAGCCACCCCCTTCGGAGAAGCCGATCTGAGCACCTGGGAGTGCGGGCGAGGACCTCGACACAGATCTCCGCCGTGCCCCGACGAGGGCTCATCAGACCTATGGCGCAGCCTAGTGACCCCTGAGCCCCCACGGGACCGATCGCAAACCGCCCCCAACGTAGCCACACCCGTAGCAGTCACCGGTCACAGGAGGCAGCGGTAACGACACCGCTGCTCGTCCCGGAGAGCCCTCGTCGCCACGGCCGGACTCTCCTCGAGCTTCTGGTCCTCAGGGGACGCGTGCGGAGTCGCCGATCTGAGCACCTCTCGTCCTCCGCCTGCACGTCGCGGAGCACCAGCCGCGCCGCGCACTCGCCGTGGAGCGGGCCCTCGCCGCGCGGGCCGGTGCCCCTCACCCCGCCGAGCGGCAGGAGGCACTCCTGGCAGAGGAGGATCGGCTCGCCGTCGGTGTCCTCGGCGGCGGCGGCGCAATCAGCGGCCCGGAGGCCAGACCCGCTCGAGTCATGGGACTTTGTTTCGTCGACGGCGAGGCAGAGGCAGTCCGCTCCATTCGGGGCCACCGAAAGGCGGATTGACCGGCGTGCAAGAAGGGAGGAAACAAGACGAGGGGGGCGGCCGCGCAGGGGGAGGGGGAGGAGGGGGAAGCGCCGAGGCGTGGAAGAGCTCCGCGTAGAGCAGGCCCGAGCGGCCAGCCGAGGCCATGGGAAAAACACGACGCAAGGCATTCACGTATATTTTGAGCCTCTGGGGGCCCCTACTTGGCCTCGGGGCCGTCCACAAACTGCTCGGCACGAAAAGACCGGTCCCAGGGAAGGGGTTGGGCCCTGCGGGGGTCGACGACATATGAAAAAATCATGACGTCGAGGGTCTGGGAAGCAAGAGTGGCCTCATTTAGTGCGTGCATTCGGGGGGCCACGAGGGAGCCAAGCCTGAGCGCGCAAGCCGACGGTGGGGGGGGCCACATGTGCGCCAGCTTCAAAAGGTCACTCCGGCGAAGGGTCACTCCTACGCGCAGCCGATCCTCGTCGGCGTCGAGCTCCTCTGCCGGCAGATCCCTCAGCGCCTCGAACCCCACTGGGGTGAGCAGCGCCCCGAGGCTGGATGGGAGAAGAGAAATCGGCACCAGCATGAACTGTCGGAGGTCCGCGCGGGTTTCCTGGATCGGCGCTGGACCATCCTGGCGGCGCCTCCAGCGCAGCCCCGCAGCGCGCTCCGCGCGCCCAGAAGGGAGGCCCGGAGCTTGCCCAAGAAGTCCGAGCGGGCCTCCCAGATTTCATGCATATGCTGATGCTTCTTCTTCGACTGGAGACCGAAAGCCCAGCGAAGCTGCAGGATGCTGGCGTCTTGAGGAGCCTTGGCTGGAACCAAAGGTGGGGCGCCCAGTCGACTGCGGCCGCGGCGCGGTCCCTCTCGCCCCAGCACGTGCTCGAAAAGGATCCGCCGCCCCGAACCCCGACGGCAACGTACTCGATCCCATCCTGGTCCCGTACCAGCTGCCCATGCCGAAAGCCCCCCACGCTCATGCAGACCTCGTCGCGA